TTAGAAGTCTGGAAAGACTGGACGGCCATTTCGTGCTAGTATGGGTCTCATTAGTAGTGTACATCCACTATCCCTGCCTACGGGAATCGAATTCAGGACTTCCTGTCTCGTCTGAGAAAGTTTAGCCTCTCTAGACGATTGAGTAGGGCTGGCACCCAGCGGTGGTAATGTCTAACTTTGATCGATTCACGGTCTTACGCAGCATCATCCACTGTTTTCGGTGGGCACTGTATTCACACTCGACAGAGTTGAACCCCAGTGGGCATGACCTCTTTGCTGAACTCAGAAAAACTTCTTCATACAGAATTTGTCAATCATTTATATTTTGATAGAACAGTGAGAAGACGTAATTGATCTGAAAAATGTGATGTATTTGCGCTATACATTTCGAACAATCTGGTCACACATATTTACTTGTCATATAAAATGCCTTGACAAGTAAATATGTGTGACCAGATTGTTCGAAATGTATAGCGCAAATACATCACATTTTTCAGATCAATTACGTCTTCTCACTGTTCTATCAAAATTTATAAAAGGGACTAATTGTTTTAAATTTCTAAAAAGTAGACTCCCTCCATCTTGCATTAAACGGTTAGATGAACTTGCTACTGTTAAATGCAAAATCGCTTCTGAAAAGGTAAAGCTGGACTTTTACAAATCGTGCCTTACTACACATATGTTTCCGAGACAATTTTATAAATTCCTACGATCTAATAAATTAATTCAGAATATCTCTAATCTCCTTCGTCTCACGAAATCTCATGTGGAAAAATGTAATGAAATGATATGTAAGCTAATTGAACTTCAAACACGTGCATCATGTGTATTATCGAATGTTTCTATCGTATGTCATATTAAATTTATGAACTTTTGCAGTTCGGTGGTCTCTAAAACGAAATATACTACGAGGCAAAAGTTGGACAAGTCCCTCATTATTGATAATCGCGGAAATTCTTTACAGTTTAACCCGGATAAGTATGTAACAAATTTATCATCCGTTGAACTTTCTGTATATGAAAAAGAAGCTCTATCTCTCGGATTTAACTTTTCCATACCTCATGCCGAAACTTCTAACTTCTCGATTGACGCCCAGTTTGAAAATCTCTTTACTCAATTGAACCCTCTTGTCCCAACCACTCAAGATAATCAAAACTGGTTGAAGGCGAAATTGGTTGATATCGCTCACCAATTTCATGGTGCCAAAATAAGACACAGGAATATTTTAACATCAAAACATTTCGTTGCCTTAAGGGACCTCCGTAAAAGATCAGATATTGTAATTCTCAAACCTGACAAAGGATCTGGAGTAGTGGTAATGAATAAATGTGATTACAAGAAGAAAATGTTATCCATCCTTAGTGATGAAAGAAAGTTTTTGGCTAATGTTTCATCTAATAATGAGGTTAGAAAATTAGAATCGCGAGTTAACTCCAATCTAATAAAGCTACTTAATATGAATGTTATCAATAAAGATGAATTTAATATGTTAAAACCCACCGGTTCTGTACTACCGAACTTATATGGATTACCCAAAATTCATAAACCGAACACTCCACTGAGACCGATATTATCTATGTGTGGCTCACCTACGCATAAGCTAGCCAAATGGTTAGCTAAATTACTTAGCCCGATTCGTAATAAATTGTGTAAGTTTTCCCTGAAAGATACATTTGAACTAATTGGTGTTCTTGATGACATTAATATTAAAGAAAAAAACTATGCATTCTTTTGATGTAAACTCTCTTTTTACAAATGTTCCCCTAATGAAAACTGTTAACTTTCTTTGTGACTATATATTAAGTAATTTCCCCCTTTTTCCCATTCAGTCAAGTCTACTAAGAGAATTAATTTTATTATGTACTGAGAAAGTTCATTTTACGTTTGATGATGAACATTTCCAGCAAGTTGATGGCGTTGCTATGGGTAGTCCTTTGGGACCTCTCTTAGCTGATGTTTACATGGCATATGCTGAAAATTTGTGGAATGAGCACATTAATAAGCTTACTCTCTATAGGAGATATATGGATGATATTTTAATTATATGTGATAAAGAACTTAACGTCTCCCAGTTACTGGAAAACTTTAATAGTCTTCAGAATGACATTGTACTAACTCATGAACCAGAAAATAATAATCGATTGCCTTTTTTAGACATATTGTTGAGCCGAAGAGATAATGGAACTATAAAGCGGTCTGTTTATAGAAAGCCGACGTGGACTGGACAGTACCTAAATTTCAACAGTTTTTGTCCACTGCAATATAAGCGAGGTTTGGTAAAATGCCTCTTCAATAGGGCACAAAGGATTTGCACCACGGATACATTTGACGACGATGTAAAATTCTTAACTGAAGCATTGATTTCAAATGGCTATCCGCTAAAGTTCATCAATAGATGTAGAAATCAGATAAGACAAAAGCAAGTTTTTGATTCTGCTGAAAAGAAAAAGGTCTATATCACTTTACCATTTAGAGGTGAAGCGAATGGTTTAATAATAAGACAGAGACTAAAAGCAGCGATAGAGAAAACATACAACGCTGCTAAACTGATTATCATTGAAAAAACCAAGTCCATGATTTCGCATATACCTAAACGTTGCTCTAATGATTACATCACATCCCATTGTATTTATCAATTTACATGTTTGTGTGGACACACATACATAGGGAGGAGTAATCGGACTTTGCAATCAAGGGTTGTGGAACATGTACCTAAGTGGCTTCAAAATCAGTTAACGTCAGATGAGCCGATTAACGTTGGAAATAGAAAGCCATGTTCATCGATCGCCAAACACATAATTGAGACAGGGCATAAGATTGACATTAAGACAGCCTTCAAAACATTGTATAGAAATGTTGAAGGACGAATTTTGAGGTTTATGGAGGCCTTGGCTATTAGAAAATTAAAACCCCCCTTATGTGTGCAGAAACAATTTGTCATAACCTTGAATTTACCCTGGTAATCTTTAAGCCTAGGGTAATGTGACAATTTTCCTACCCCTTCTTATTCTTTTCATATTACGTTAATTTTCTCTCTCCTTTATTTACAATTATCACCTTACAGTCTATTTGAACTTTTATTTAATTGACCTTTTATTAATCTTTATATAAAATGCCTTGACAAGTAAATATGTGTGACCAGATTGTTCGAAATGTATAGCGCAAATACATCACATTTTTCAGATCAATTACGTCTTCTCACTGTTCTATCAAAATTTATAAAAGGGACTAATTGTTTTAAATCATTTATATTATGAAAGGATAGCTGACAGGAATGTAGCGAAAACAAATGTTACAATAATGAAACTTACAATCACTGTCAATCACACATAAAAACATCAAAAAGAATCAATCTAATGATTGTTAGACAATTACAAAGCTTACTTCCTTCGTATGAAGTAGACACAAATGATGTTATCTAGAAAAATTGAAAAAATTTCTGCATTTAAATATTTTAACACATAGATTACAACACTAACCCCAGTGTCACAGACTTCGATGATGTTTCCTAATCAACTTAAATGTATAAATACGCATTATCTGTAACATACTAGGACGAGGATCCGGTACCGGATCCCTAGTCCAGGATCCTGATTCTCCTATGGACTCGGAGCTCGTTCTTTCTGGATGCTTGTGGAATACAGGTTCTACTCCATATCAAGCTTTCTTCTTTCATTTGATTGTTGTTTGGACAATCGAATTTGAGTAGCATGTCGTGTGGGCTGATCCTCGATCCTCGCTCTTGTTTTCCTACTAAGGCAAACTCGTATTAGTTCAGGCATATAAAGTTGACGCGTTTACGTGCAGGCGTAACACATTTATTTTGTATTTGTAAATTATACGTGTGATAAAGAGAAAAAGTAAACAATATCATCCTAAGATGTGTATTAATCTTCAGAGGTTCTCAGAATTTCTTATTGTGATTACGCAAGGTGCCGAGAACTGAAGGTGATTAGTTCTGACCACTTCAAAACCTGAAACAGCTAGTCCCTTTTTTTATAAATTTTGATCAAACAGTGAGAAGACGTAATTGATCTGCAAAATGTTTTGATGTATTTGCGAGCTATGCATTTCGAACAGTCTGGTCACACATCAAGACAGCCTTCAAAACATCGTATAGAAATATTGAAGGACGAATTTTGAGGTTTATGGAAGCATTGGCTATTTGTAAATTAAAATCCCCCCTTATGTGTACAGAAACAATTTGTTATAAACTTGAGTTTACCCTGGTAATCTTTAAGCCTAAGGGGTAATTTGACAATTTCCTACCCTATCTTATTCTTTCTATTTCACGGTAATTTCTTCTCGCCTTCAATTACAATTATCACCTTATGCCTATTTGAACTCTAATTTAATTGACCTTTTATTGATATTCATGTAAAATGCCTTGACAAGTATATGTGTTACCAGATTGTTCGAAATGTACATGGCGCAAATACATCACAACATTTTCCAGATCACCCACGTCTTCTCACTGTTCACTCCAAAACTGGCTGTTTGAGCAAGAAGATAAACAGAAGAAGAGGTCATTTTGGCTACCACTTCTTCAGAGAAGGGAGTCATTTCTTAACCAGTGATATTCATTCACCCATTAGGACATTTTCTGACGATCATCCAATGACGTTTTCACTAGGTCACTTTTCTTTGGCTTAGTACATCAGTTAGTATAGAGCACATTTAACTACTTTTCGTTGCAATTATTTAGCGAATGCTGAATGCTGGGTAGTAATTCTCTTTAGAGAGGTTTATTAATCGTCATCTGTAAACATGTTAATTGAGCCTGTATTTAAAATGAAGTTACACTTCAATATGCTACACTAACCCATCTAATCAATCAAAAAACCAATGACTAAAATTCCTGAATCTAAAATATTATATTGAATATTGAACGCGAAACAAATCGCTTCAATGAATGATGTATGATTAAACATTGAAAAGCCACACGTTTCTATTAAGTTTCTTTATATTTGTTGTTGTTTTGTTCTTCTTTTTTTATTCAGGTATTTTATCTACATTTATTGCATCAGTTGTTGTACATAAATTTGGTTTAGAATTAAAAAATGGTTGGAGAGTTGCATTATGTTTAGCAGCATTTAGTCAGTTTGTTGCAATGATCACATATTTATTATTTAGTTCAAGTGAACAACAATCTTGGGCTTATTCATCAACACACAATGAAGAGGAGGACAATGACAATGTGGAAGGAGAAGAAAATATCAATGTGCATAATACTGACAGTCGTGTTAGTAAGAATAGACATTATCAAGGTGGAACAACAAATCAATCATCCATGATTTGACACCAGTTTGTTTTTTTTTCTTATTGTGATTTCTATGATTAGATTGATGATATTTCTTGCTTTTGTTTTTTCATGTGGTTAATTATTTTTTTGTAAAATAATGTTCCCCCAAAGATTTTGCATGTCATTTTCAGTAAGAATGAACTTTGTCTTTTTTTGTACATAAATTTGTTTAGATTTTAATTAGATCTTATTGAAAAAAAGAAGACGACGAGAAAAGGAAAGAGGAGAACAGGAATGTTGGTTTTTTGTAATTGAACAATCAAAAGCGAATTGTAAAAATTGAAAAGAGTTTTACTGACTTGTTTATTGAATAATATTTGTTTGTTTTTTCGCCTTTTTTAAACCTTGTCATTTGGAATTTGCATACGCGATAACTAGAGAAATAGTTTGAAATGTGTGAGGCATTGAAAGGTTATCTGTATTGAACATTGAAAATTGGACAAATAAACAAATACACAATGAGCACACAAGAACTAATAAAAACTGTCAACTATGTCAAGAACATTTGCAACATTTGCAACACTAAATGTATATACAACTGACAGACAACAATAGCATAATATTTTATGATTTATGCTTGAAATTGATTGGCAATCATACCACTTACTGAATATTTTGAAGTAGTATGGTTGTATTTGAAGGTAGTTGGTAATAAACCTTGGACCCTTAGCCCTATAGTCTTTAGAGACTATCGTTACTGCTGACATGTCAGTGTCAACCAAAGGTATAGGCCACAAGCAAACGGAGTTTAGTAGGCGGTAACACATAATTATCTGTTTGTCAGTTTTCAATCTACCCTTTTAAGTTACTCCTGACAACGATTAAACGCAGAACCGGTCCGTTCTTGACAAGTATCCTGCACAATAGAGGACATTATCTCAACGAGCGTGTGCAACCAACAATATTGCACAACACATTGGGAACAAAATGAATAAATTAAGCGTACTAAGCAATAATAATAATGCTCATCTGATGAAATACCTGAAACACGGGCATCTTCTGAAATTATAAACCAGAAGCTGACAATGACCGGCATTTTTTGTTATGTGTCTGTAGAAGAACTTGAGTAGATCTGTGGCCGCTCTCTACCTTCAGCACTGCTCGGCAGTACGTCAAGTTTACACTCGAAAATTTTAAATCCTTATAAATCTGTATGACGCTCAACAAGATTGCCTAACACCTCTATATGTTTATATGGAGTCACCAACGTAAAGCCAACTGCAGTCTCTGAGTAAAACAGTAGTATACTGGAGGGATAATCCCGCTCTTTTAGAATGGAAAAACCTACATTCGAAATCAGGACACTTAGGAATCCCCAAATTTACCCTTGATGACCACACTCACATTGTTTTTGACAACATTACTTATTGAAGAATTAGTGCGTTTCAAATTCCTGAATTTTGAAACTCAGTAGAGAATCATAATTCTTAATAGGTCAATAGCGTTTAGAGTGAGGTGCTCACATTCAGTCAGTAAAAGAATGGTACCAGAAAATTAGTAAGTGAAAAACATGACAACAGTTTTGAAAGGACCCTAATGTAGTGAACCTTCAGTTTAAAGAGTGATTGCACTATTTTCGGTACAGGCTAGATCGATTTGTTACAAATGATAGCACATTTAATAATAATAATAATAATTTATTCTCAAATAACTACGTTACAAGAGTCACGCCAGTTTACAGGCTAGATCAAATTGTCACAAATGCTTTTACAATTACTGTAAAAGTTATAGCAGTTAAATTAAGTATAAGAGACAGTTTCTGATTGCATATTTACACCATATCACTGACAGAAACAGTATTATACAGCCACATTTTCAATATTAGAGTACAAATGAGGAAGGTGCACAATAGGTTCTATTGGCGATTGGCCGAGATCAATAGTGAATTTGTTGGGAAAGGTCATATGGAACGCGCTTGATACGAGCTGTGATCCAGACAGTCGTGTACATTGGGTGCATGTTCCCTAGAGTTGCCAAGGATTACCCACCGTGAATGGGGTTCTGAAAAGGTGAAGAGAGAGAGAAAAAGGCAGCAGTGTGGCAAGTGTATATATATAACCAAAGCACTACTTAACCTGTCATGTTGAAGTAGTCAATACAGTAGTAAGTCAAGATAAAATTCATACTGACCACTTAAATTAAAGTAAATTATGGGAATATAAGAATATAACGCACAGATAAAGGACTACAGCAAAAAGAAGGGAGAGTTGTGCAGTGTCAGGTGGACAGAAGAGAAGTCGAAGTAAGAAGCTGGATTTATGTACGTTGAAATCGAAATTCTAGTTGAAAGAGTAGAGTTTGTAAAAATAAAAATTTGAGGAATAAAATCTCGCACTGTCTAACTGTTTTTTTATTATTATTGAATGCCAACCTCTAAGTCATACTGTTAGCGCCTGAGTAAGAATGTTGCAGGTGTCTCGACAGAATAGCGACCTCAGCATAGTTTTGGAAACATGAACCACAGAAGTAGCAAGCGTATAAGAGCAACCTCAGTGTTACTGATTAGTCGTCTCATCAATCTAAAGAGCCGAAAGCAAACAAAATGTTCTGCCCCACAAACATGGGTGGTTTGAAGTTATCGCCCACACCATCAATGTTTGCTGGTCAGTAACTCCACCCTCCCTCCTTTTGTGTTGTTAGGCTCATGTTAAGTGTTTAAAAGAAGCTATTGAGTTCTACTTGGTGTTCTATGTCTCGCATCCTGTTGAGAAACACTATTTCTGCAAGTTCCTTTCACAAACTCGTCTGGCTATTACAACTTGTGAACTATTGGTTAGGCGAATGCTGATAAAGTTTTGTCCAATCCAAATTAACTGTTGTTTTTTTAGGCTGTCGAATCATGATTACTAGTCGTTTGGCAGCAAATGGTGAAGTTTGAGCGACTACTCTTAAAGTAAATAAAGTGCTTTCAACAGTATCGATCGACCCAGTGAGTAACCTGTCTGTTTTAAGTGAAAACTAAAGGAATTTGTACCCAGTTAAAAGAATAAAATTCCACTTCGGAGAAGGAAAGAATATAACGATTTGAAGCTCTGAACTCGATACAATTTAAAGGCGTAAAGAGCTAATAATGTGGAAACGGGGTGCGAGAGAATTTACGCCTGCATATGAATCACGGAGACCGAAGACTTCATCATTAAGCTTTAAAAACTCATGTAGCCCATGTGCGTGCGTATTTTTGATGCAAGGCTGTTCCATTTCAGTGCATACTTAGTGATGAAGAAGTTTTCTCGAGTTTTTGATTCATACTTCTCCAGTTTGACTATAGATACTTTAGCTCGAAGATTATGTATACCTGGGCCTTGGATAAGGACTACACTACAAGATGAGTATATCAGGTTGTGCAGCAGCCCAAAGTAGTGCATGACCTAGCTCTAATGAAGCCATGTTGTGAGGGGTAAATTAGACGTTCCTTGAGTAGGTGCTCAAATAGTCGATCTTTACCCACTTTGTGCATTACCCATCAGATAACTGGTATGATATTAACTAGTCACTAGTTTGGGATTAAGTTGTTCAACCGTGATTTGCGTCTAGGGAAACGTGGGTTAATTTACAGGCTTCACAGTATATATCAAACTCTAGGGACGATGTAAAGGTTTAGAGCAAAACTGCCAGAATTTTAGGTCAGTCAGTCAGTCAGTCAGTCAGTCAGATGCAACGTAGAACTTGGTACATAAGTACATCAGTTCATGTTGCCATACCACATCAGCACAGAGATATAATTGTCAATTCAAATCCAATAGTAGAAGAGGTAGTAAGGGAATTAGAAGTAATCGGAGAGGTTAGGGTCAGAAGATATTATTCAAGAAATATAATTCAGTGAGATAAGGTTAGAAAGACAAAGGTAGAGAAGCTGATGAATCCAGAAGATTAGGATTTGAGAGAGCTCAAAGAGTGGATGCACCTGCGCCATTGCAAACGATTTTGAGCCATGTCGTTCAAGGTCTCTAACCATTGATGACTTTCGTCTCGCGGACCCCAACCAGGTAGTCTACATCTACCAACATGACTCAGTCCACTTGTCAGTGACTTCATGGATTTCTGCCACGTTTTGGTCTGGCCGCCCCTAGCTTTCTTCCAACCTACTCCTACACCACAAAACATAGCTCGTCGAGACAGTCGGTGGTTAGGCATACGTAACACATGTCCCAACCACCTCAACTGATGAAGTTTCACCACTTCATCTATTGATCTGCCATCCTTACCTAGTACTCGTTTCCTAGCAACAGCATTGCTCACTCGGGTGTCCCACGGTATACGAGCAATGCTTCGAAGACACCTATGATCGAAAACCATTAACCTACGAATATCTTCTACTCTCACTGGCCATGTTTCACAGCCATATAGGAGAACGGAGCGAACTGCTGCACAGTACACTCGTCCTTTAGTCAGCAGACGGATATCTCGCCTACGCCATAAGTGACGCAGGTTGGCAAAAGCCAATCGAGCTTTCTGTATCCGTGCTGAGATTTCGTCAGTCACCAGGCCATCGGCACTGATGAGACTCCCAAGATAAGTGAAGCGGTCTACACGTTCAACCACTTCACTCCCTATCACTAGTTCAGGTGCCAATGCAACCCAGTCTTGAAGCAACATTTTGCATTTCGAGGGGGAAAACCGCATCCCGAACATGCTTGCATTGTTGCTTAGGGTAGTCAGAAGACTCTGCATTTTGTCAGCGTCTTCACCAAGTAGGACAATGTCATCGGCATATTCTAAGTCAATAAGCGAGCCACCTGGAAGAAGGTCTACTCCTGAAAATTCAGACGAGGATAATGTTATGTCTAGGAGCATGTCTATGATAAAATTAAACAAGAATGGAGAAAGTGGACATCCCTGACGGACACCACTTGATGTAGAGAATTCCGGTGACAGTTCGCCATAAGCCCTCACCCGACCAGTGGTGTTCGAGTAAAGAGCTTGTATAAGGTTAATGTACTTCTGTGGTACACCTTTCAATGACAGACACTGCCACAGAACCTCACGATCAACAGAGTCGAATGCCGCCTTAAGGTCTAGGAAAACAACTATTGTAGGACGCCTAAATGTGTGTCTATGTTCCAGGACCTGTCTGAGTGTGAAGACGTGGTCTATACAGCCACGTCCAGGTCGAAAACCAGACTGGTTTTCTCGAGTCTGCTCTTCACGAGCTTTCGTTAAGCGTCGAAGTATTATTGAGGCCAATATTTTAGATACTATATTAGTTAGACTTATTCCCCTGTGATTGTCACAAGAAGACTTCTGTCCTTTCTTATAGATTGGGACAAT